GATTCAAGTTTTTTGGCAATCATCCCGTCCTGGAGAGAGTGTTGGGTAAACTTCATCCATCATCAAATCTCTAAACATGGACAGGGACCCAATTAAGTTTCTATTAGTGCCCAATCATAGTAAGGGACGTTACGAACATCAATACTCATTGTTAATTTCGACACCCTTTATAACATTTCAGAACTTCTGTTAAAAAAGCAAAACAAACCAAAACGAAAAAACAAAAACAAAAAAAAAACACGTTATTCAATAACATCTTATTTTGGCAAAATTAGTTCGCGTGTCCTTGAATCCAGTAAGATCTTTAATTAATTGACCCAACACTCCCTTGTCCGCAGATTGGGAAAGTGGGCAGACATAGCTTGCATGCTTGAATTCCAGAGATCTGCTTGCAATCATGAGATGAGGCGAACAACATCTATATACAAGTGAAGAGAAAACCGCTTGCACTCAACAAGAACACTGTTTCTAACAAATAAAGGGAGTTACCGCGTATGAAGGGTCGCTGTGCAATAATCGTTCTGATACCTTCATGTCACGTGATCAGTCATTAAAATGTTTCCACGAGTGAAGTTTAAGTTTTAATAAACATTGCCTGTCAGCGCTTAATATATTTTAACTATATATAGAGGTGAAGCTTGAATTTTTCATAATGAGATCATGACACTGTTTTTGCTTTTTGTTTTTTTCAAATATTTTTTCCGAGAAACTGGGCTAATTTCCAAGTTTCAGCAGAAACGGAAACATTGATTGCAACGGTTGATTGAAATAACTTCAACTGCACTTTAGCTTACCTTTGAAGATCACTCGGTCAATTTGTTGTCTTATCGACAGGTCAATATCTGATTCATTTCATATGTACCATTTCTGATAAGAAACGGACTTTACAACACATGAACAGGAAGACTAAGTTAGAAGTTAAGGAGCACTCCGCACGAGATCAGACTTTCCGAGAAACTGCGTCAAAATTCACAGTTGAGCCAAATTTTAAATGGTTTGCAATAAATTCAACAAAGACAAGGAAATAGTGCTTAAAAAAAGCGAAAATATAGTAGACTGGGTCGTATTTCCCTCAAGTCTCGATGTAGCTCAATCACTTTGAAGTAACTGCGATTAATGACAAATGTAAACAATGATTCCCATATCGAGCTAATCAACTCTGATTATGACTCCAGCTTAGTTGTCGAAACGTCAGTCACTAGTATTTACAACTGTCCTTTTCTGTGCTACCCTCGCCCGGACTAATCAGTTTTTGTTTTCTTCGTTCATGGTTGCTCCGGCAAACGAGTGGTACAATCTCTCCGTGCAATTTCTCAGTCTTTATCTGATTACATGGCGTGACTAAGGCGGAGGGATTTCTCCTCATGGTAACAATACATTTTTAAGCAGAAAAAATTGGAGACGAAAAAGTTATCACATTGGAGATATCATTGGACTAACCGCCAAATTCTCTGATCTGAAATAAGAAGAAATATATGAAAAACAGTGCGGAGAATCGATATCTGGATATTTGGAGTGAAAGGCTGGTTAATAAAGCGTTGAGTAATATTTAACAATGACTCTATCATTATCCTCAGGCTCTAAGATGCCACTGAATCGAAAGCGACAACTATTCACAAACATTAGCCAGGGGTGAACTCACCGTTTGTTATGATGAGTGGCCGACGAAGCAGTGACAGGGATGTGCGTCAAATGAATACAGGTTGACAAAGAGGGAAGCAATTAAGTCCTTACAACATTTCCGGGTTCATTACAAGGAAATGAAAGCCTAATGATTATTTTTCACGTTTTCTTTGTTCATAGAAATGTCTCTTGGGTTAATAGGGAGGCGAACTTCGTCGCGAGCGCTGAAGGAAGCTTTGTCTGGTGAAATTGGTACATGTATGAAACAAATACTAGTGGCAATATAATGATGTCTTTAGTGAATGTCTGGCTGTAAAATTATCATAGAAACCTGCAAGGTTCGTTGATAGTAATTCCTATTGTAAGTGCTACAGGCATAGAATTCAGTGAAAAAACGAGAAGCTCTTGACTAAATCCCGTTAACTGTTTTAGAACCACGTCTGGAGAGAAAACTCCTCAATGTTGAAACCCTTATCTTAACTTCGGATGTTTAAAACCAGCAGATCGGTAGATTTATGAATTTTTTTATCATGTCGGTAAAAGTTTACAATTCACCAGTGTCTTAACTGATGGACCCGAAAGTGTCAATACCACTATACATGAAAATTTTTTGAAAAAAGTGGAAAGGAGAACTAAAGCCGTTTCAAAAAAACGCTTCCTAAGAGAAAGAAAAGCTAAAGAAAGCGTTGATCCCCATTTTTTGGTCTTTTTATGTACCAAGAACGAAAGGAGACGAATCAAATAATTATGCAACCGAATTCTTACAGTGGAGTGAAACCTTGATCATGAACACCCTATAAAACCAAAAGTATCCTGTGGAGACATGTAAACGTTGGCGACGACTGTTCCTCGATCTGGTCCCCTGAAAACCATGTGATCTGTGATCTCTCACCCTCCCCCTCCCCCTCCCCTTCCCCCCCAAAAACAAATCATCCGAACTCTCCAGGCGACAAGTAATAATTGATCCCTAAGGCATTTAATTTCGTGGACTTTGCACGATCCAATGAGTCGAATGACATTTAATGTCAAGGTTTTGCGGCGGTGGGAAAGGCGGGATGTGTAATTAAAGACTTTATGTCGTGAGCTTAGAGTATTAAAGGGGCGACCGAGATGGGATTACTGATAGAATCATCTAAATAAATAACCATAACCGCAATAAATGAATCAGGAAACTGTCAATTAAAGGTAACAATTCAGCTAACTAGCTGATAATTGGAAAATTGCGTGACCTATGAAAGCAAGGACAGGAAGCCGCCACAAAAATAACCTCCAAGTGACGCTCGGGGCCTATCCGCACTGGCGACAAAATTGTTTATTTAGACAAATTTTCTGTCATCACCAACACTTTACAAGTGCGGATGGTTTGTCGCAACTTGACAAATTTTGGCCGAAGTGGAAAAATTTTCAAACGCACCGCCGACAAAATTTGTGCCAGGTGAAGCCTTCGCAAAATCGACTAAATAGACAAAGCCGTGATAAACTTGTCGATCATTTGTCGTAAACGCCACCGCCAGTGTGGAAATTGAAACTGAGTTTAGTTTACCAAAAGATTGCAGTAATTGTTTTTCTTTGCGAAACTCGCGGATTTTACAACTTCAAACAACTTAAGATGAATCCTGGTAATTGGAGTTTGAATCCACAGGCGAATTATAGCGGCCAGTCTTAAGAAAACGTCAGGCGCTGGATGCAGCCGGGGCAAGATACAACACTGGGGTGATTTTCTAGTCGCCACTTTGTCAGTCCAATAGTGAAGCAGTAGATGTGGCACAAGATCCAGGAGTGGCCACTCAAAGCAAAGAGAAAGGCGGGAAAAGCTAAATTGAATAAAATTACAGTGAAATATAATATCGTTGTTATTTTTGGCCGTTAACCGAATTTGACAGACTGAACAGCTACAGCTTTTTTTTAGTGCGTATGCAAGAATGAAAACAAAAATTTGTCCTTTCATTTTGTCGGGTCAATTCTAGTTTTGTCTGCTAGTGTGGATAGGGCCTAATTCGACCCACGTGAGGGGCGAGCGTTTGGCAACACTGAAAACTACTAGTTCGCCTCAGCTCGAGGCAAGAACTTCTTTAATGAAAGGCTATACTAGTCCGCTGAAGAAATGAAGGTGGTTTAAACATGAATTGTACATGATATCAATAATGATCTGCACAATTCGCAGAACAAAGAAGAACAAAGTAATGCGTCATTTGCGTTCATCAAGAAAAACGAAGAATGTTGAGTTCGTTTTAAAGACCTTTCTGTTTTTCAATGAAATCAGATTAGCCTATGAACAAGAAACCTATATACTTCACATACAGTTATGAAATCGCTGAGACCTCTCCATATCAAGTGGTTGGATCAATGTTGCAATAACAGTGATTTTTGCTCTTCAAAAGGGTGTAACAGGAAGTACGATACAATGTGTCAGTTAGAATGAGTTGCTGTTGGCTGGAGCCATAGGTGTTCATGTGCAAATCGAGGTTTAGCTCAAAAGATTTGGCCCGCATACACCGGAAATGAATTATGATACCAGACCCCCTATAAACAAGGACGATCTCTACTGATAAATGGCGAACATAACAACATAAATGCGATTACATTTTATTTTGTTAACAAGAAAGCTATTAGGAGCGGAGAGTATTCAGAAGAGTTCAGATTGAAACAGATAGCGTCAAAGTAGCAAGTGTTTTCCGGCAAAGTAATAAATGGCGAGCATAACAAAATAAATGTGATCACGTTATATTTTGTTAATAGGAAAGCCATTAGGAGTGCAGATCTAGAGTATTCGGAGCAGAGATTGAAACACTGAGCGCCAAAGTGTTTTTTATTAACTGTTTTCAACGTCTCAAAAAGCAAGGATAAGTATGTTCGCCTGAGTAACAGAAGGGAGAAAACACAACTGCAGAATGATTCGTCATCTCCGCTAAAACTGACAAAGAATATATAGCTATAGTTAATTAAAGGAAATAATTGCGAAACTGAAACTATTTCCCTCGATCAAACACAGTAATGAGGAAAACGAAGTTTGCTTTAAGAGACAGACTTTATATGCTAGGACCTTACGAGTTTGATTTCGATTTGTGACGCACAAGTTTTGAAGCCTGCAAATTTTCCAAAAGGTGTATCCTCTGTTTACTCCTTCAGAGTTTAATAGCTGATTTTGTGCTAAGTGACGACTGAAGTGGTCTTAATGAAACATTTGCTTGTACTGATCAAAGTCTGTGGTATTCTCAGTTCGTATCTAATTAAATTTGTTCGACATCTGACTATGAATTGAAACTAACGCAATAGATAGGAGTCTCGTTCTTTTCCGATCCTAACACCAGCTGCAAAACGTTATACATATCAAAATAATGATCTAGCGGATAGTAGCGATGTTCAGTTCGACATACCTTGTCCATTTCTCAAAGGCATCACTGCAACCCACTCTGACAATTTATCCGGGCAGGAATTGCGAAGTCACATTGAAAATGTACAGATGCTGTACTCCAGCTTTTAAGCGATTACGCTTCGTAAAAAAGACCTTCTCTCTGATGAGCTAATTAAGAAGCCTGTCAGCGAAACACAATGATGAAATATTCCAACTATGGGCATAGCCCCTGGATTATCGGCTATCTCGCTAGGGAAAGTTCAGTTTAATTTAGAAGGGTTAAAAAAGCTTTAAAAAATTGGGAGCGCTTGTATTGCATTCAGCCAAGGCCAATGGAAGAACTTTTTCGTTTAAGACCAGAAAAATAACTATCCCAGATGACACAGGCAAGGTTGGATTTTGTGAATATTCAAATATCATGGGAAAAATAGTGCGAAGTGACTCTGTTGTAGCTAACAGTGTTTTCGTGCAGGCCTGTTTTCGCAATTGAGCGGGCGATTCACTGTTTTAAAGTCTGCGCCAAGCAGAAGTTGTCTGCCTCTGGAAGAAGCTTAAGATTAACGTTGATTCCATGGTACACGCCGCTTCTTATTTCCTTATCCGAGTTTAGTCCAGTATTTCGCTCAATTTTTTTTAACTTAAGTTGTTCTAGTGAGTCATGCCAAACTCTTTCAAAAATAGACTGGTCTTGTGTAATTAAAGGCTATGTATCGAGCTTTTGTGTATTTAAGGAACGACCGAAATGGGATTACGGATAGAATCATCTAAAAATAATAACAATTATAACTGTGATAACCAAATTAGGAAACCGTCAATTACCGGTTACAAATCGACTAATTAGCTGATAATTGGAAAATTTCGGGTGTAATGAAACATCTGTAAGTTGTAAGTTGCACAAGGTATTCTTGTCACTGAGAAGGTGGCGCTTGCTATCTGGTACATTTACTGCGCGCGTTAGCTGTCGTTTGTTTACAGACTTAAGCGATGTGTGGGTCTGCTGCTGCAAAGTCAGTTTGATTTTTCACCCAAACTTATATAAAGGCTTTTTGCCAAGTTTTTGATCAATAAGTCGGCTGCTTTTTGGCTTAAATGATCAAAATTCTTGTTTAAGCCCTCCCCCAGCATTACTAAGTTGGTTCCCCTCCTAAATATTAACTACTTCCTGTCACAAGTGGTTATCCCAGCAAACCAGTGTCAATTACACAGATTGAGGAGTGTTGGTAACGACCATCTTCACCCTGGAATAGATTTGTCTGGCACTTTGTTTTATATTTTCAAATCTTTGGGGATAAATTTTATCACATTCTATTGTCACAAAGAAGAGAAAGAAGATGACGAAGAAGAAAATTAAGAGAGGAAACGGAAAGAAGATATGGAGTGAGAAGCGGTATGGAAAATTAACGATAAAAACAACAGTATCAACAACGACAGCAATAGCAACAGATCACGTGTTAAATTGCCACAATAAAATCGGTATGACTTTTTACCCTTATGGTCAATTATACAACAAACCGCACCCTCCATCGCTTTATTTACCAGCGTAATAAACTACGTGGGATGTTGGAAGAACACAAGAAGAGTTTGTAAACCATTCAAGCCGTAGGCGAGTGACTTACGCCGGCGGTGTTCAAGGCGTCCTCTTCGTTTCCTCCAAACCAAAGGCAGATAAATAAGAGGACAGGAAGATATGTTTCAGTTCTATGGGTTTACTAGCACAGTGATGCAATTAGCGATAGACTTTTGACCAATCGGAGTGCAGGTTGTGTCTAAGTTATGTTAGAGACATATTTAGGGGTTTTGAAAAGAATTAGGCCCAATATTTCGGCCATTTTAGACTGTAGGTGAGCTGTTTCTTGGTCAAGTCTGTCCCATTAGTTCAAATTACCTCGTAAATATAAGTTACTTTTAGTAACACTTTCACGGGTAGTTCTTGTAACAGGTAAGTTTAAAACTAGAACATATAGTGAGAGATGTTGACGACTAATTTGCCTCCAGGGACAAACGTAATGTTGGCTTTTACGGCATTTTTCAAATTATCAAGATATTTTATCAAATTATATCGTCACAAAGAAGAGAAACGAAAAGAAGAAAGAGAAAGAAGAATAACTTTTAGCTAAAACCACAAATACAACAACAGTAGCCTGCAACAAAAGAAACCAATAAGTTTTCTCTGTTTTGTTTGCCTCTGTAGCGACTGCCTATCGCTTTTGCAATAAGCTCAGTTAAAGTAGTGAAGAAAACCAACTGCTGGACTCAGACAGGTATATTGAAAACTCTTCCATGCAGACTACGGATTTCGCGATCCGATGCTCTGCTACCACGCAAAAGAGAAAACTTATTTAAGTTATTTTATCTATTAGGTTCCTGCGAAACACTTATCTTGCGTATTGCAAGGGTTAGTAACATCATGTGAAAGCATCGTGTGTGTGTGTGGTCGAATACAAAATTGCGTTTTGTTGTAGTTTCCTTTTTCAGTTTGCGTGTAGCTTTTCAAACATGATTAGTTATGCCAAAAAAAAAATAATTGTACCTGTAGTCAGGAAATGTGAAAATGAAATCTTAAGTTTAAACAAAAATTAAAAGGTCTTTTAAAGATAACGACTAACAACAAATCTGATGTTTTGTCTTACGTGAGTGGCTGTGTTTGCCTGAGGAAGGATTCCTGGTCACTGTCTTCTTCATGGCTTTGATTAAAAAAAAAGAAAAAGGAATAGAGAAGATGTGAGGGCCTTTATAATTTTGGATGTCAATTTTTAGTGCTCTTAAGTTATATTTAGGATATTGTGCATTCAAGCGTAGGTCATTCTGCAGTTGAAGAATTAAAAGGAAAATATAAATTTTTTAGATAAGTTGTCATATGCAGAAAAAAATAACCCTGAATATTGCCAGTGACAGACGAGAACATCATGGCTCTGTCATTAACTAATGGTTTATACGGTCCTTGTCAGTGGGACGTCTGCTTCGTGCCAGACTTTTTCGGTCAGTTAAGCCGGCACGTGGAGTTTTAACGATTAGTCAAATGTCACAAACTCTCTTCGTATACTGTGATGCACGAGCGGTTAAAATGAGAGGATAACTTTTTAAATTACAAACTACACTGTTTGGTGTGTATGAAATAAATGCTTCATTACAACATTGAAAAGAAACGAGAGGAAATATATTGAACTAATGTTGGTAAAATACACTTGCAAACTGCTAAATATGAAAACAGTGGAACGACTAAAGTCTGGGAATTGAAAATAACAGAGGTAAATTAAAAGCTGCTTTGAAAATCGTGATCTCTGCGGCTGAGAAAATATATAAGCTTCAACGAATCTTTATGGTAATACACAACTTCACCTGTTCTGCGTAATTTTTGGCCAAGAAATCGAATTTGAGTTAGGGTTTTAGGGACAACAGACGGTAAAAATATTGTCGAGCGATCGACTTCAAAAACCTTTGACAAATTCAAAAGCTACAAGCAACATGTAGTTGTTTCGTCTCACCTCAACCAGCTTTGGATCACTTTACTGTGCCATATGACAGTATTTACTCCAACTCGATGTTCACACTGGCTCCTTTCCATCAGACTGCGACTTGTGATCGGACACATCCGGTAGTAAATACTCAGTAACAGTACTTGGTACGCCAGAAGGTTGAATTGCCAAATTTAGAAGTTATCTTGACAACCTCTGACTGTTTCTGCTGGCAAGATAACATGAAAAAAATGCCATTCATTTTGTCGGCTATTGTGCGATCACCTTGCACAATAAAAGACCATGAGCGTGCAATTGAAAAGACACCCATAGCGTTATTAACAACGCAGTATAAGGTTGTATATTAGCAAGTGTTTTCTTTGCATTGTTTGGGATTACAAAGCATTTACTTCATGGAAAGAATGCCCAAAACATAAAATTTCCGCTTTGTTTCAATCGTTCTATACTATAAAAGTATATGTGCCGCGAAAGTCATTTACATACGCGAGCGCGCTCACTTCGACCACATGAAATGAGTCAAGCGTAACTGAAGTGTAAACTGAACTAATATGGAGAGTCGAATGAATAAAAGAGGTAAGTTTTTAAAAGAAACTGTGGTGCTGCGTCGGTGGGGGTAACAAGGTAATTTGGTTATATCAACTAAGTTGAAATTGTAAATTTGCCACCGTAAAGAGTTAAAAAGCTGACGTTTCGAGCGTTAGCCCTCCGCCAGAGCGAATGGAGGAATTGTGGATTGTGTTATATACGCAGAAAGAGGAGCTACGCTATTGCTGGGAACATAGTGACGAGAAAAACACGAATAAATTAGTAGAATGAAAAGCGTTCGTTGATACCCGGGGTTAAGAGTGCCGATTTGAAAGATAAACTTTTATTCAAGAGTTTTGCGACTTTCTGAGCTACCTAAATGTAAGGAAAGACCGCAGATTGCCATGTGCTGCTTAGAATGATCAAGCAGATTAAAGTGTCTAGCGACTGGTTTTGATGCGTCCTTGTCATTCCTTTCTACGTCGCGAAGGTGTTCTTAGAATCGGTCACGTAGTCGTCTTCATGTTTCGCCGATATATATCTTTTTGAAATAAGTGCAATAGATGACGTTTGCGGAGGTGCACGTGAAGTGATCAGTGATCTTAATGGATCGTTTGGGCCCGATATTTTCTCAGCGTTGTGAATGAAAGGACAAGTTAACGTTTTGCATCGTGCACTAGCGCATTTAAAAGTTCCGTGGTCAGAAGTTCATTCCAAACTAATGACCAACCCGGCACTATCGGTTTCCAAACGATCCTTAAGATCACTGATCACTTCACGTGCGACTCCGCAAACGTCATCTATTGCACAACTTGCACTTATTACAAAAAGATATATATCGGCGAAACAGGAAGACGACTACCTGACCGATTCCAAAAACACCTTCGCGACATAGAAAGAAATGACAAGGACGCATCAAAACCAGTCGCTAGACACTTTAATCTGCTTGATCATTCTAAGCAGCACATGGCAATCTGCGGTCTTTCCTTA